TAAAATGCGGTGTATTAGTAAAAAAATACATTTAATATACATCGCCATCCCACTTTCTGAAAGCAACAACTGCTCTAACACCATATCTTGACTATTCTATAGAAAATTAACATTGCCACTAACTTCATTCACTGATCACATTGACTTGAAACATTTCTGGTGAAACCTGCAGACTGGACCCTTTGTGAATAATGATAAATGACAAATAGTGCACACGGCAAGCGCAGTCATATAAAGTTTAAGTGTACCACGGCCACTCAGATGGAGATGGGAATTGGCTTCATCATCATAGGGCAAAGGCCATGAAAATGACTCAGACTGGTACGCCTCTGATGTCCTGCAGCTTTGAGCACATACGCTGATTAACTTTCCTATCGCGGTGGAAATAATAACCTCTTCAAATGTCAAACTGTCGCTTCCTATAGTTTGGAAGTTAAGTTAGAAGCATTTCCAAGTGTATGTTGCTCAGCTGGTTGGCAGGATATCTGTCATACCTCTCCACTCACTCATTGGCTTGCACTTTAGGGAGAACACTCATCATAATTATTTACTGACCAAAGGGAACAGAATGTGAGCTGGGGAAAAAGAAGCTGAAGCCAGGTTTGAATTAAAGAGGGGGGTAAAATGTGTTTTTTAAAAGGATGGGGTTGGGGTGGGGAGAGAAAATCCTAACTGTTAGACTAGTCTACTGATTGTTTGCCTTTGAAATCATCCTAGTTCTTCTTGACTGACAACACCACAAGAAGACAAAGGAGGCACAGTTTAGAATGTCTGCCTGGCTGTCTAGCTGTTTAGGGAAAGGAATATTCTGGGTTGCACCTGGTCCATTGTAGTAACACTTGTTTTATCACTATAGCTACAAAATGGCTGGTCCAGCTGGGACCACAGCCTTGTGCTAAGAGAGTTTTTCGAAGGTGGAGTATATTTTCTACAGATGCTATGACACCCCAGGCAGGATGTTTACTGTGCACTGTAGATGTTAGTTATTATCTGGCAACATCAAGTGGAAAATACTAATAACATTAAGTAAAGGCAGCAAAATTATACCATTTTAATAGGCCTCAACCTTTTGCAATGACACCCTTTTAATACTTTGATCTGATTTCAAACAACAGAGCCCAGTTTTTCCCTATTATGTTTAATAAATTACTGCAGCACTATGGCCTGGATTTTTTTTAAGAACTCTCATCACTAACAGGTACTTAGTGTATAATCCAATTTTAAACAAAGAAGTGGTTTAATTTACCTTACAGTTACCACAGAGACTATAGAACTTGACATTAATAAGGTTAAGACATTAATTCAATTGCCTGAAGTGTTCATTCAAGAAGATGGAAAGCCTTTCTAATAACAGAAATGTATGATTGCCAACCTGTAGCCCATAAAATCAAAGGGACAGGCATTAAGAGAGAAATGCAACAGCCTAAGAAGAATGGAAATGGAGAGCAAATCTATGAAACTCTGTTTTTAAAAAAGGAAAAGGAAAGAGGAAATCGTCTTGTATTTTCACAATTAGGAAATTTTTAAAAATCTCAGTTACAGTTAATATATTAAACGAAAGTATCAGGGTGTGTGTCTAGACTACGGGGGGGGGGGGGTGTCAAAAAGTGTCTAGACTACGGGGGGGGGGGGGTTCGAAAAAAGCTCTGTTTCTTTAAACTCAGTTTTCTTTTCTGATTCTAATACTGTGTCTCATTGTTGCCATGCTTGTCCTGAATATGGTGCTGAGGAATATTTATCATTCCATAACATTTTTTAAAAAAATCAAACGTTTCTATTTGTATAAGGTCTTCTAAAACTTTTTAATCACTTCACAAAACCTAAATGTTGATCACAGTCTACCTAACAGTACCTCTTTAGAATATATGGTGCCAGACTACCAGGTGTGTTAGAACATTAGCAATAATCACTAACTACATTGATTGGGTGACTGCATACAGTTGGTATGAATCAGCTCATGATATTTATCTGTTTGCATGCTTCCATCAACCTGAAAAACTGCTTCTTAGACTTCCTCTATTTCATTGATTTCTTACTTGTGCTCGGATCACAGTTTAAAATTCCAACTCCAGCATGAGGTGGGCAGTGATAGATTAAAAATCTGAGCAGCAAGTGCTGCCATACTGAACACTAATGATTTTCATCAGATTTAATTAAAATGTTATGTTCCAACTTCTTTCGTACCTTTACAGTGCATGACCATAAATCTTTGAAACCCAGGGTGGAGATATGAGGCCGAATTTTATGCTCATTTGCACTGGGGTTACACAGGTACAACTGAGCATAGAATTTGGCCTGTGGGCTCTCCCGTTCAGTCTTCCTCTTCTTCTTCTTCACTTTTTTTTTTTTTTTTTTTTTTTGCCAGTCATTAAGTCAGAAAAAGGATTCTTTTGATATTGACCATCAATGGGAAATGCTATAGGAAGGAGCTTTCCTGTTTTACTTAGCTCAGCAAAACAGTGGGAAAACAAAATATTGAAGTGAAATTTTCAACCTATAAATGGCTGTTTAAAAACTTGAGATACTTTATTGTGTGTGGATACCTCCAAAAGAGGTTAGCTGTTAAACTTCATTTTTAGATTTAGTGCCAAATTCTGATCTCAGATACCCTGATATCAATGGTATTACTCTAAAGTTACATTTGAAGACAAAAATCTAGTCTTTGGTCCTTAATGAAGACAAATGCTTTGAAGAAATTAGGTTTGCAAATGGAAAGTTAGTAAAGGATTCTGTAAATAGGCATTTCAGGAGGACTGGCTCTTTGAAAATAGGTTTTAAAGTCACTCTTGAAGAAAACTCAGGAATTCTCCACCTTGGAATTCTGAGAATCTGATTGTTTCAAATGATGTTAAAATTATATGCTAATTATATTTTACTAATTCAAATACTTTATATTTAGTATCTTTCATCCAAGGATCTCCTCAAACAATATGATATTAATTAATTTAGCCTCACAACAATTTGTGAACTATATAAGTACAGATGGTTAAGCTGCCGAAGCACAGAGAAGTTGAGTGAATTGCCCAAGGACAAGGAACAAAAGTCCTGACATTCTGTACTCTGTTTAAACTATTATGGAAAACTGCTTCCTTTAAAACAGCATCTACATTATATGCCTTTTCTCCTGTTTTGGATTCTTATAAATTATTGTTTTAAACAACTTTTGCTATTAGACTTTTTAAAAGCACAGTTTGGTATATACAACTTAAAACTCTTGCGCACAAAGATTTGATTTAATGTGTCATGTTTAACATTTGTTTCCCAATCTGCCTTGAGTAGTTGTTAGGATTTTGTGCCTTCATGTGGACATTGCAATTTCAGTCAGTGCCAGGAAAAAAGTAATAACTCCTCTTTAGCAGAGCACAGGTTTTAAAAGTTAACGAGAGACACTTGAAAACTGGCAGCTTTTCAGTGTAGGAAGAAAGAGTAAGTTATGTCTGATGTAGTCAAGGGGAAAAAGAAACAGGAGACGCCTCTCCCCCCAAAATGGTCTTGGCAAATGTGGAGTAGCAGGTGTGATGCTAGATCAGTAGCACTATGATCTATTGTCAAATACTTGACAATGGATAAAAATTTCCAAATGGATCCACAGTGGTGGGAAAATCTTGAACTGTCAAGTCAATTTTTTCTTTTCTTTTTCTTTTTCTTTTTCTTTTTCTTTTTCTTTTTCTTTTGAATTTCTTGCAGATTTATAGGAAGCACAAGGGATGGGTGTGTATGTGTGTAATACAATAAAATAAAACTTCTGAAGTCTGGAAATGAAAACCAGCTGGGTTCAATCATCAAGATTGTTTAGATTCAAACTACCATGGGAATGACTGAAAAATCACAAAAGTACCATAAAATACAATAGAACTAATATTGCAACTATTAGTAAGAGAAAGTATTTTTGTTACTTATAGCTAAAGTGTTGGGGCAGAGCTTTTACCAGGGATTATGGGCTTTAATCTATGGTTACATCTGCAGTTTACAGACCTCCTGAGATTTTTCAAAATTTGTATGCACACTAATAATAAATCACAGCCATGAGGTTATTACATCTTTTGTTTTTAGTAGGAATGGTGAACTAGTTTGAACCCCATTTAAAACTCAGACCTATTAGTCTCATTGCCCCCCATTTTACTGTGGTCAGTGTAGAACAAACACACAGTTGTTCTAAAAACATTATACAACTACAGTGTGTGATTAAAAAAAAGCTACTAACAATTATGACACTAGGATAAAATAGCCCATAAGAAATACTCTGTGTTAAGCAACTGGTTTATGGACGTGAGAGACCTCAATGGAATCACATCTTAAATTCATTCAAATTTTGATATACAAAATCCCATCCAGTCAACTGACAATAAAGAAATCTATCTTTTGGACGTGAATATGACCTTGGTGAGTGAAATTACAACAAATAATAGTGTGTGCAGGTAATTTTTTGAAACATGGGATAATAAAATGTCTTAATTGGCTTTTATGGACCCATATCATGGATGCTTACATAGTTAGTTCAGTTATATTTATACTCAACACTTAAGTGTTATGCAACTCCATGTGTGATGTTTTATATACATTTAATGCAGATCTGTGAATAATCTGCATATATGTTGGCATAACCTTCTGTTTATAGCCAGTGCCTCTGTCCTATGGAGTGGTAGTAAGTAATAGAATATTGAGATAAAATTTGGCAACTGAGTTTAATGAGTTTAATGGCTCTGGGTAGGTGGGTGGATGCTAGAAGTTTTTAGGGTTGCTGGGTTAGTTGGATGTGTATGTTCAGAGATGGTGGCGGATGCTTGGGTAGGGTATTTTCTGACTGAATAGTGCTGAGATTTCTGGGGTTGGCAGAGTGCTAGGGTGTCCACAATAGGGAAACGATGGTTTCTGAATGCTGTCAGGGGGAGGGTAGGAGACCTTGGGCCTTGCATGGGGATTGGTAGCTGGGATCACTGTGGGACTTAGTGAAAGACCAAAAAATAATTCGAAGAACCTGAGACCAATAGTGAGCTCCTTTACTTTGTATCCCCACGATCTAGATGGTCTAGATGGTGTTTGGTCCTGCCATGAGTGCAGGAGACAGGACTTGATGACCTCTTGAGGTCCCTTCTGTTCCTACGATTCCATGACTTTATGCCACTGCCTTCTCTTGCTTCTACTGCTCCTGCTAGTCTTTTCCTTCTGGAATCTAGTAGAGGGAACAGTGAGAAGGGAGGGAGATTGCAGTGCAGGTGCCACAGTGGCCCCTCCTAAGAAGAACTCCGCCTTGTCTACAGCTCATCTGGCTGCCTGGAGGTGTGGCTGGGCTGTGAGAATGTGTGGACAGGGTTCCCAAAAGGCTTGAGTATCACACAAGATGCATGACATTATGCAGTCCTCTTTACCTGAGTGAATACAGTATTCAAAAAAGACAAAGGATCCATGTTTGCCAGTTTTTTGGTAACCCTTAGAGCAGGAGTGGGCAATAATTCTTAATGGGGGGGGCCACTCCATGATTTTGGCAAGTTGTCAAGGGCCGCATTTCTACTGAGGGAGTGTAGGGTCTGGGAGAGAGATAGGGTGCAGGAGGGGGTTGTCATCTAGGGCAGAGGCTTGGAGTGCAGAGTCCAGAAGGGAGTATGGGTGCAGGAGAGGATTCTGGCTTGGCAGATGGGCTCTAGGAGGGGGTTCAGGGTCTGGGAGGGAGCTGTGTCCTGGGTGAAGGGGTACAGAGGGTTTGGGTGGTGACCTGGGGCAAGGGAATGAGATGCAAGGTCAGGGAAGGAGTTGTGACCTGGGAGAAAGGGATTCAAAGGATTTGGGTGGTGGCCTGGGGCAGGTAGTTGTGGGGGAGGGGAGGAAGAAGGTGGTACCAGAGGCAGGCTCTGGCTGGGAGGCGTTTACCTAGGTGGCTCCCAGCCAGCAGTTCTGTAGGAACCTGAAGGCTGCAGTTGCAAGCTGCTCCATGTGACTCTTCTCCCAGTGGGGTGGCGGAGGAAGGGAGGCAGGAGGCTTCACTGGCTGCCCCTGCTGCCAGCAAAATTTGTCAGCTCCTATTGGCTGAAAATTGGCCAATGGGAACTGAAAGATTTTGCTGCGGGGCAGGACAGAACACAAAGCCTCCGTCCTCACTCCCAGCATAGAGCAGTCACATTTAAAGCTGCAGCAGCTGCGCTGTGCTTAAGGGTCCCAGCGAGGCAGCTGCGGTCCAGATCCAATGGCTTGCCGGCCAGATGCGGCCCGCTAGCTGCCTCTTGCCCACCCCTGCTTTAGAATGTATCTGGATGCCCTACCTTCACTTACGTAAAACAGAGAGGATCAGGGGAAAACTAAAGTTCACTCATACTGTAGCCTTTTTCCTACTAATAATATTTACCAAAGACCCCAGAATCAGTGATAGCACTTAATGGCTTCCTTTAAAAAAAAACAAGAGCAAAGTGCTCATTCCTCTGCAGCATCCAGACTCTACTGGAGATATCAAAAGTGGGGGGCTCACAGCAGAGCTGTGGTTTCTGTGCTTTGACCTTTGGGGCACCCTGGATGTCTCTGAAGTATGGCCTGGCTGCATCTCCCCAAGGGTTTGCCATTGCCAGCCATTGTTTATTAGAGCACAGGGTACTCCCACCATGCTCCCTATGCAAGTGGGAGGGAATGGCACAGGGCCTGTTATGCTCGCTTTTTCTGGTGTATTTCCTTACACTGGGAAAATCCGCAGCTGGTTGCTTGAGCTGGCTATAACTCCTAACCAGACTAGCACAAAAAGGCTGCCATGGGGCTAAAGACTGAGCCCAATTAGTGTAAATGGATATTTAAAAACTGGAGAAAGCAGTGCCCAGTAGTGAAAGCAAAAGACTGGGTCCTGGAGTTTCTGGTCTCACTCAGTGTGACCCTGAATGGTTCACTAAGTCTTCACTTGTAAAAATTAGAATAATGAAACCTACTTTATAGAGTCAGGAAGATTTAATATTGGCACAGTGCTTTGAGATCTGTGGATTGAAGAATCTAGAGAAAAGAAGTATTGGTACAACTTCATAGGAAATATTCCCACTTACAGCTAAGCACACTAAAATGGGCAATCTTGGGATTCAGAAGAGTGCATCAACTGACTATTGCAATGGCGAAGGTGGAATTTTCCCCAAATAGTCATATCACAACTATACAACATTTTCATCACAATTCTTGCTTTAACAGAAATGATGAAATTTTACACTGAGATTTCTAATTTGATCAAAATTGTGGAGTCCAGAACCACACTTAGAACCCTGGGGATGTATACACCACCTTACCGACATAAGAGGTACACACCATACCAAAAACAAAGACCATTCTCCCACCAAATGCCCTCAAACAGATAGCATGACCAGCAATGTAACAAAAAGCACCAACGAAGAAGACGACCTCCACCAAAAGCGTCTGGCCAGCACAACACCAGACAGCAGGTTTGATGCGCTGGTCGAGGGACTGAGAACCATACCTCTAAACAATCTCACTCATGCCGCGGACACTTTATTCCATCATCATAAGGCCCTTTCAACAACGATGGGCTCATATCACCACCGACAGATGGGTTCTTCAAACCATCGAGCTAGGTTATACCATTCCCTTCACATCGATACCTCCTCCCTCCCCTCCCACCCTGTCCCTCTTCAGAGACCCATCTCACGAACCCCTGCTAAGGCAAGAAGTACTTCGTTTACTGACCATCCAGGCAATAGAGAAAGTCCCAGACAAATTCAAGGGCAAGGGTTTTTATTCCCCATACTTCTTAACCAAGAAAAAGTTGGGGGGTTGGAGGCCGATCATAGACCTTCGAAGCTTAAATTGTTATCTTCGAAAGCAACATTTCCAAATGGTTACCCTAACCACAATCATCCCGGCACTACACAACGGAGACTGGTACACGTCCCTCGATCTCCAGGACACACATTTTCATGTGGTCATCCACCCGGCCTACAGAAGGTTTCTTCGTTTCTTCGTTTCCAATACAAGGTCCTGCCCTTTGGTCTTTTGTCGGCTCCCAAGGTTTTCTCCAAGACTCTGGCCGTGGTCACAGTCTACAGCTCATGGGACATATGGTATCCACGTATGTCATGGAACACGCGAGGTTACACTTCCGCTGCCTTCAATACTGCATAGCCACAATATATACTCCAAACACTCACGACGTCCACTGGAGGGTTACAATCCCTGTCTATGTCAAAAAATCACTAACTTGGTGGTCTAGCCCCGACAATCTGATGTCAGGCATACCCTTTCATCTTCCCCAGCTGACAATACAGCTGACTACCGACGCATCACTTCTTAGGTGGGGTGCCCACTTGAAACACAAACAGGTACAGGGCCTATGGTCCCCTGAAGAATCATTGATGCACATCAATTTCCTGGAACTATGGCCAGTCCACAATGCCTGCCAGCACTTCCTCCCCGTTATCCAGGGCCAAGTCATACGAGTCCTCACTGACAACATGACCACTGTATATTATATAAACAGACAGGGGGGAGCTCAATCCCGATCCATTTGCACCAAAGCGATACATTTGTGGAATTGGTGCAATCATCATAAGATCTCCCTTCTTGCGGAGTATCTCCCTGGGCAGCAGAATTCCACAGCCAATGCACTGAGCAGACACTTCTCCATGAATCACGAGTAGGCACTACATCCAGAAGTACTCTCCACTATATTCCATCACTGTGGGTTTCCAGCAGTAGACCTATTTGCCACATGCCTCAATGCAAAATGTCCCCAATACTGCTTGAGGGCCAGGATTGGACGGAACTCCAGGGGAGATGCCTTCTTGTGCAGTTGGTGTCACCGTCTCCTATACGCCTTTCCCCCCACGCCCTTAATCCCCAGATTCCTGGAAAAGATAGCTATAAACAGAGCTACTGTCATTCTCATATGTCTACACTACCACCCTAGTTCAAGCTAGGGTGGTTAATGTAGTCATTTGAAGTTGCAAATGAAGCCCGGGATTTAAATATGCCAGGCTTCATTTGCATCTTGCCGGGCACCGCCATTTTTAAATCCCCGTTAGTGCGGACTCCGTGCCCGCGGCTACATGCGGCATGGAGTAGGTAGTTCGAATTAGGCTTTCTAATTCGAACTACCGTTACTCCTCGTGGAACGAGGCATACTCATAGCTCCCTTTTGGCCATGACAAACATGGTTCCCTTACCTCTATCACATGTCGGTTCATTCTCCATACCCTCTGCCTAGGTGCCAAGACTTGCTCACACAGAACCGTGGACACTTGAGTCATCTGCAGATCGACCACCTTGTGCTGACAGCCTGGTACCTGATTGGTTCCAACAAACAGAAATGATATGTTCATAAGCTGTCAAACACATCCTAATACATAGTAGAAAATCTACCACATGTACCACTTACCTTCATAAATGGTTCTCATCATGGTGTTTGGAGACACACGTAGATCCTTACTTTGTGCCTATTCACCAGATTCTGGACTACCTCATAAGTGCTGCATAGTCCTGTCTTTTGTTTCAGCTAGACCGGTCTAACACGGCTGCATCTCTATCACTATCATACGTCTTAAAGACTCCAGCCTTACCTGCGCTTCTCTTAAGGTACATATAGCTGTTATCACTGCTTTCCGCCATGTAGTAGATGGCTACTTGGTCTGCCCACATCCCATGACAGAGAGAGGAAAAAAACAAAAAAAGAAGAAGTGGGACCGCTAATGACTGAGGATGGAGTGGAGGTTAAGGATAATCTAGGCATGGCCCAATATCTAAACAAATACTTTGCTTCAGTCTTTAATGAGGCTAATGAAGAGCATAGGGATAAGGGTAACATAACAAATGGGAATAAGGATATGGAGGTAAATATTACCATATCTGAGGTAAAAGCCAAACTTGAACAGCTCAATGGGAGTAAATCGGGGGGCCCAGATAATCTTCATCCAAGAATGTTAAAGGAACTGGCACATGAATTTGCAAGTCCATTAGCAAAAATGTTTAATAAATCTCTAAACTCAGGGGTTGTACCATTTGACTGGAGAATTGCTAATATAGTTCCTATTTTTAAGAAAGGGGGAAAAAGCGACCTGGGTAACTAGGCCTGTTAGTTTGACATCTGTAGTATGCAAGATCTTGGAAAAAATTTTGAAGGAGAAAGTAGTTAGAGACATTGAGGCTAATGGCAATTGGGACAAATTACAACATGGTTTTACAAAAGGTAGATCGTGCCAAACCAACCTGATCTCCTTTTTTGAGAAAGTAACAGATTTTTTAGATAAAGGAAATGCAGTGGATCTAATCTACCTCGACTTTAGTAAGGCATTTGATACAGTACCACATAGGGAATTATTGGTTAAATTGGAAAAGATAGGGATTAATATGAAAGTTGAGAGGTGGATAAGCAACTGGTTAAAGGGGAGACTACAGCGGGTCATACTGAAAGGTGAACTGTCAGGTTGGAGGAAGGTTAATAGCGGAGTTCCTCAGGGATCAGTTTTGGGGCCAATTTTATTTAATCATTTTATTACTGACCTTGGCACCAAAAGTGGAAGTGTCCTGATAAAATTTGCGGATGACACAAAGTTGGGAGGTAATGCCAATTCAGAAAAGGATCAGGATATCATACAAGAAGATCTGGATGACCTTGTAAATTGGAGTGATAGCAATAGGATGAAATTTAATAGTGAGAAGTATAAGGTTATGCATTTAGGGATTAATAACAAGAATTTCAAACGGAAACAAGTACAGAGAAGGGACAATAGGATGATCCGAGACTCAAGGAGCTTGGTTTGTTTACCTTAACCAAAAGAAAGCTGAGAGGAGACATGATTGCACTCTTTAAATATATTAGAGGGATAAATACCAGGGAGGGAGAGGAATTATTTAAGCTTAATACCAATGTGGACACAAGAACAAATGGATATAAGCTGGCTAGTAGGAAGTTTAGACTTGAAATTAGACGAAGGTTTCTAACTATTAGAGGAGTGACGTTCTGGAACAGCCTTCCAAGGGAAGTAGTGGGGGCAAAAGACATATCTGGCATCTTGATGAGATAACATGATCTTCGTAACTAATTGACCTTTCATTATCAGTGGTAAATAGGCCAATGGAGGGATGATAGGAGTTACTATAGAGAATTTTTCCTGGGTGGCTGGCTGGTGAGTCTTGCCCACATGCTTAGGGTTCAGCTGATCACCATATTTGGGGTCGGGAAGGAATTTTCCTCCAGGGTAGATTGGCAGAGGCCCTGGAGGTTTTTCACCTTCCTCTGTAGCATGGGGTACAGATCACAGCTGGAGGATTCTCTGCATCTTGGGGTCTTTAAACTATTTGAAGGTTTCAATATCTGAGATATAGGTGAGAGGATTATTCCAGGAGTGGGTGGGTGAGATTCTGAGGCCTGCATTGTGCAGGGATGGCTGACCTCTTTTCACACCATAGACAATCGGCAGACCCCTGGGACATGGAGCTAGTCCTCAATGCATGTTTGCAACTATTGAGCAGTCCAGCAGCCACCCCCTGCTCCTGCTCCTGCTCCTACTCCCACCCCAGACTCATAGACTCAGAACACTCCCTCCCTTGCTCCTGCCCCAGCTCCTGCTCCTCTGGCTTCTCCCCTCAGTCCCCTCCCCATGGCCACAGAGGGCCTCGCACATGAGACAGTGGGACCACCTGAGGCAGGCACCAGTCCCAGCACCATCCCTGAGCCTCCCCTGTTCTTCCCTTTCCATACTCCACCTCACTCCTCCCAGGTTCTTTTCCCAGTCTCTCCCCAGTTTTCTTTACCCCAATTAAAAAAATAGAGTTAATTGGTTCAAAACAAAAGTCTTGTTTATTTTATCAACAGAGGAAGGGGAGGGGGAGAGAAGAGGAATGGGGAAAGGGCAGGCAGTGGAAGAGAGGGGTGTGGGAGGAAAGGAACAGAGGGGCAATGCACAGGCCCCTTGTGAGGAAACTTAGGGGAGAGTCTCATGGGTGTCCTTGGCTGAAACAGTCCTTTATGGCCTCCCAGATGCACTCACCCCTCTCATGGGCCTGCCAGATGGCAGTCGTGTGCAGCTGCTGAAAGGCCTTGGTGAATTGCTTGGGCTCTACCCCCCACCCTGGCAGAAATGTCTCCCCCTTGGTCTCACAAATATTATGGAGGACACAGCAGGCCACCATCACTTGAGGGATGTTCCACTCACCAAGGTCCAGCCAGGTGAGGAGGAAGTAGAATCTCCCTTTGAGACGCTCAAAGGTGCCCTCCACCACAATGGGGACCCTGCTGAGCCTGGAATTCCTTTGTGGGGTCCAGGTGCCCAGTGTAGGGCTTCATAAGCTAGGGGAGGACAGGGTAGGCTGTGTTCCCCGCAGTGCACATTGGCAAGTCCACAGCCCAGACAGAGTTGTGAGTGCCATCAATGGCCCCTCCAGCAGTTGGGGAAGCCCATTGTGACAAAGCCAGTGACGATGGGGTCTACATCACCCAGGAGGATGAGCTAGCACAGCAACATGGTGTTGATGGTCCTCACCACCTAAAGGAGACAAATAGGGAATCACAGGGTTGCCAGTACCCACAGAAGTTCCTCGATCCCAACCCCCTTCTCCCACACAGCAGGAGCAACCCCCAACTCACCCCATGTCCCTTTGTGAAGCTTTGTGAAGGCAGGACTGCCATGTCTAGTGTGGCGAGCTTCCACCGTGCAATGGCGACCCACTTCTGGAGGGGGATGGTGGGTCTCATCTGGGTGTCCCATCACCTGAGGGCAGGGGCGAGCTACTCACAGAGCTCCAGGAAGGTGTCCTTCCACACGCGGAACTTCTGGAGCCACTGCTAGTTGTCCCACTGCTCCATGATGATCCGGTCCCACCAGTCGGAACTGGTGTCCAGTAGTCAGAAGCGGTGGTACACAGTATACAGGGGAAGGTGGGAGTGGCTGTGCTGCATGAGCAGCACATGGAGAGAGCTGAGGAGGTGCCCCGCAGGGAGCAGCGAGTCCAGATTCTGCAGTGCCACAAGGGCAGCCTGCAAAAACTGCACCAGGAGGTTCAGCATGAGGTCCAGGAGCTGGAGACTGCTTGGCAGCAGATTCGGCTCCATGGCAGGAGTCCTGTAGTGTTCACAAGGGCAACCAGAGCAGGCAGTGAAAAGCCTTTGCTGACCTTCAAGGAGATAGACAAAAGAGAGGAGCCTGAGACACGGCTGTACAGGAGGTCCCTTTAAGCATGAGCCGCAGATAGCCTCAGGAAGCAGCTCCAGGAAGTGACTGTTCTCTTTATGCCCTGCCCAAAGTGCTTTCAGGGGGTCTTAAATGCAATTGAGGCTCCAATCAGTGTGGGCACTCTATTACAAAATAGCTCAATGCTATTTCAATTGGCTTCTGCAGTATAGGTGCTCTATTTCAAAATGAGCTATTTCTGAGTTTTTATTCCAAAATAATGCTGCTGTGTAGATGTACCATAAAGGAGCTGGGCCGCTGGGCTAATTTCAGTGGTGTAAGATACATGGGGGTTAAAATTACATATCAGGTGTATTTTTTCCAGATAACAGGTGTTAGTGACAAAGTAAGGTAACTTGCTGCAATTGGGAATTCAGTAGATATGCAAAATAAGTAACTGACACCAATTCAACATAAGCAGGAATAACGCCTGTTGATTTCAAGGCTGAATGTTGTGGCTGCCATGGATATGAATAAAATGACTTCAAGGAGGAATGTCTGGGAATATTGAGGATACAAATTAAAGTAGTGCTGGAGGGTACAAGGGCTGCTTTATTTTACACCCTTTTGTTCATTGCTGTCCCTGCAACAGTCCATTTCTATCTCTTCCAAATAAAATTTAATTTGTTTAAGACTAACATTGAATACCAAAATTATGGATGTGAATGGGTAACTGGTTAACTGGTTACCAGGTGATGCTTACTTGTTAAGGTTATCCCATGCCTGGGATCAGCCAGGCCCCCGCCCAGGGCTTTGGGCTTCCAGCCCACGTGGGGGTCGGCAGCCCCAATGAGGAGGCCAGGAACCAGCAACAGCCCAATGCAGGAGCTGGGAACTGGCACAGCAGCAGCCGCAATGTTTAACCGGTTAACAGATTAATCGGGATTTTACATCCCTAATCAAAATAGATGTATCTTTAACTGTTTACCTCTTCTAGTTGGTACTCAGATATTGCAGTCATGGGCATGGTATAGTCACAGACTCTGCCTAGTTCAGTCTCTTGCACTGAACAAGGACCAAGTATACCTAGAACATCTGTACTAAGTGCTTGTCTAATCTGTTCTGAGAACCTGCAGCATTCTTGAGAAGTCTATTCCAGTGCTTAATTGTCCTTAATAGGTAAGTTAGAAACTATCCTTAGAAAGTTTTACTCATATCTAACTTGACTCGCCCTTGCTGTAGATTAAGCCTATTACTTTTTGCCTGCCTTCAGTGTATGTGGCGATCACTGACCTCATTATAACAGCCTTTAACATATTTGGAGCTTATTAGCTTCCTGTTCTGTTTGTTGTTGTTGTTTGTTTGTTTTTAAATACTAAGCATGCCCAGTTTTTTAACCTTTTCTCATAAGTCAGATTTTTTTAAACCTTTTATCATATTTATTCTGCTACTCTGGACTCTGTCCATTTTGATAGCATTTTTCCTAAAGTGGTACCCTGAGTTGGACACAGTACCCCACCTTTAGGAAAGATGCTGTCAAACTGAAGGGAGTCCAGAGGAGAAGAAATAATATGATAAAGGGTTTAGAAAACTTGACTTATGAGGAAAGTTTTAAAAGAATTCCCAGATTCTGACAGAGGCTAGATACATCATCCCTGCCCATCTTGATTAATAGCCATTAATGGGCCTATCCTCCATGAATTTATCCACTTCTTTTTTGAACCTTGTTATAGTCTTGGCCTTCACAACATCATCTGGCAAGGAGTTCCACAGGCTGATTGTGCACTGTGTGAAGTATTGCCTTTTGTTTGTTTTAAACCTGCTACCTATTATTTTCATTTGGTTACCCCTAGTTCTTGTCTTATAGGAACGAGTGGACACCTCTTTTTTATTCACTTTCTCCAAAACAGTCATGATTTTATAGACCTCTATCATATCCCCCCCCTTAGTCCCAGTCTTATTAATCTCACCTCATATGGCAGCCATTCCATACCCCCTTCCATTTGTGATCCATTATAACCTCCAAATCTTTTTCAGCAGACTACTGCCTAGACTGTTATTTTGCATTTTATAGTTGTTCATTTGATTTTTCCTTCCTAAGTATAGTATTTGCACTTGTATTTATTTCATTTCATCTTGTTGGTTTCAGACCAATTCTCCAATTTGTCAAGGTCATTTTAAACATAGCCTCCAAGGTGCTATGTACTCCTCCTGGCTTGGTATCCTTGCAATTTTCATAAGCATATTCTCCAAGTTAAGGAAAATATTGAATAGGACCAGACCTAGGACAGATCCCTGCAGGATCCCCCTAGATAAGTCCTTCCACTCTGACAATGAACCATTGATAACTTTTTGAGTATAGTATTTCAACTAATTTTTCACCTGCCTTACACTCATTTCATCCATCGCTTCCTTATGAAAATGTGGTGTGGTGCTGTATCAAAAGCTTACTAAAATCAAGATATGCCATATCCACAGTAAGTCAGCAACCATGTCAAAAAAGGAAATTAAGCTGTCATGGCATGATTTTTTGATAAATCCAAATTAATTAAGTGTGTTATTAATAAACAGAGAACCCCCCTAAAATTTAGCATTCCTTATTTAAAGTAAATGTTCTATAAACAAATATAATATCTGCCTAGCAATAATGAAACACTTGTATTATACAACATGAAGCTTCTAGCCCTTTGTCGCCCCATGTTCCAGCATTTATTGTGCCACTTTATCACCTTTTTTTAAAGAGTGAGCTACCATCATTCCAGCCAGAGAGTGTAGCCATGATTTTCTTTCCACTTTAAAAGAAAGAAAACATCAGAATGCAACAGGAACACTTTTCAGTAATAGTGCGCTATGGCTCTTTTGTATTTTTATGTCTAACTTTGTAAGTAGTTTTTAGGTGAGGTGAAACTTGGTGTTATGCAAAACAAATCAGACTCCTGAAAGGAGTCAGTAACCTGGAAAAGTTTGAGAGCCACTCTAGTATAAAGTATAGGCACTAAGCCATATTCAGAGATAACTGTAGAAAGACAAGGCTGTAGAAGATAAAACAGCCAAAAAGAAAGTGTTAAAGAAAGATGGGCCTTGCTAAAACAACACTCAATGCATGTGAATTACACACATTTGCCTTTACTTAGGCCAGGTCTACACTAGGGGGCAATGTCGAACTAAGGTATGCAACTTCAGCTATATGAATAGTAATAGCTGGAGTTAAGGAACCTGAGATCGAGTTGGCATGGCGTTCCCAACGCCACAAAAGATCGATGTGAGACTCTTCTGTCTACTTCCCTTATGCTTCTCAATCCAGGGGAGTTTCTGAGTTGACAAGAGTGTGATCAGCAGTCAATTTATCAGGTCTTTACTAGACCCGCTAAATTGACTCCCAGGGGATCGATCCCCAAAGCACCAATCTCCCAGTAAGTGTAGACAAGGCCTTTCTCCACTCAGCCAATATGTAGTTCACAATGCCATTTATATCACCTCTGAATTTGCCTCATAGCACCCAGTCCTGTAGTTGTTGAAGGCATTTGGCAAAAGCCCATCAACTTCAATGGGAGTGGAAGCAGTCCCTTAATGTTTGTTGTTTTTTCACTCCATGCAGGTCTGCAAGTAGGTATATGCTTAATATTCTGCTTTAAAAAATTCACGTACATATTTTTCTCCTAAAATATTTTCACATATTTCCCCTCAACTTATTCTTACTTTTGCAATTTGGTTCTGAGCTTAATGTGAACAGAATGCTTTCACCTAAAAATAGTTTACCCACATTTTTTATCCATTAGGCTGTGATGCTGTTCTGCTTCTCCCACCTCATCATACTATTCTTCTCCTGAGGACGGCAATAATGCCAAGCTGTAAAGATCCTGTCCAATGCTTGTATCTGGCCTCGTAGAAAAGTCCACATGGAGTTTTGCTGGCAGTGTAAAAACAGACTCTGGGTCTGTGATGTGGTTAAACCTATTGACAGGTTTCTGAGCTGCTTTGTGACAATGTGTTCAGTTTATTCTGTTATGCTTGTTCAACATTTATGAACTGTCATCACCTCTGGAATATGGTCACATATGATTCCCTAAAGACACACCCAAGAGCTCTCCTCCCATAATAAATGCTAATAATTTATAAATTTATACCAACGTTTCCTAGGCTAACCTCAGAACCGTCTTTTCATAGACATCTGTGGACAAAATACAGGCGGCTGCCGACTTGTGACATGATTGGTTCCCAGAAAAGT